GACAAGTTCCATTTTGAAAGGGGGATTCCTCCTATATTGTTCGTGGAGAGTTTTACCTTTCGATTTAGATTTAAGCTTGCACCCCGCTTTTTCTGGAAAGCTGGGAGGTTCAGGTCAGTACCTCGTGCTAGATCCATCTGTCTGAAATCGAACAGACTTCAATGATTTGGATGGTGTGGCGCAAATAGATCACACGCAGTTTTAGAATATGCACCTTTGGGGTTTAGTTATGTCTTTTTCGGAAGGGTGCATATATGCATACAGATTTATCCTCTATATAGATAGATAGATAGATAGATAGATAGATAGATAGATAGATAGATAGATAGATAGATAGATAGATAGATACACACACACACAAACATACACACACATACTATCTCTCTCTCTCTCTCTCTCTTTCTCTCTCTTTCTCACTCCCTCCTCTCTCTCTGTCTCTCTCTCTCTGTCTCTCTGTCTCTCTGTCTCTCTCTCTCTCTCTCTCTCTCTCTCTCTCTCTCTCTCTCTCTCTCTGTGAAATTGTTATTTGAATTTGGCTAGGTTTACACCAACCCATGGTATTTTGAATAAGACTATACACAAAAGATTTCTTGCTATCCATCTTCTTGGACATATGCATTGCAATGTTAACAAATAGAAAAAAACTGTTAAAAAAATTCAGTCAAATGAACGATAACTAAGTTTTCTGTAACAAATTACACAATTACGAGACTTAATCTCACACCTAAGTTCTGAATTCAGCGACAGACAAAGAGAAAGAGACATAGTCCCATGTGTCTGATTTATTAAACATATTTATTATGCCCTGCTTTTAAAATGTTGTTTGTATGTATGTCATGTATGATTAATATTGTTTTTACAGAAGTACGTTTCGTAAATGGTGTATGTTTTATGATGTAAGACAAAGGTCTTAAAGACTCAATAAAACACCTAACGTATGCCCTGCCCTTTAACAGATAAATTAGCTGTGTATAACTCAAATATAACATATTCCCCATTTAAGCACATACATATATAGAGAAAGGCAGAAAAGTGATGCAAACGCAAAAGAAGAACCCATTCATGCGAAGTGCTGTTGCTTTCAAAAGCCCTTACCGATCACAAAGGCAGAGAGGAACATGCCGATGCCGAAGAAAGTTGTGGAGAATCGTAGGATGACGAACGCCTCGTATGACGTCACGAAGGTTACACCCAAGGACGACCCAAAGTGGCCTGCCACTCCAATGAGCAATACTTTTTTACGTCCTATCCTGTCAGAGTAAAATAATATAAAAATCAGACTTTAAAAAAAAATCGACAACAAATATCCAACAGATTAACAAAAAACCAACAGATTACTACTGTTATTGATCCAGAGCAACACACCTGGCCCACGCCTGACAATACCTCCCCTCGACCCCCCCCCCCCCCCCCCCCCAGGGGAAGAGGAAAGAAAAAGTAACAGTAAGTATAAAAATGTGGGTTAAAATGACATACGCAACACATGCACAGTAAATTAAATGAGAGTAAATTAAATAATGACAGTAAATTAAATGACAGTAAATGAAATGACAGTGACATCAGCAATGAATAGTACGCAGTGTCATAGTACAATCTATACACGTGTACCTCAGCTTGCATGAAAGCAATGCTATTGTAACATCAGCAAGGACAGACATGTAAAAGGCGGTAGGCACTAAATAAAGTGTATTTTGTCACTGTTATCAACGAGAGGCAACTTTTCTTTAAAATAAGCGTAAGATGATTTGTTTAATAGGATGTGTTGTAGGGGTTTTACGTCCCCATGGACACAATTTATAGTATTTAGGGGCAGCCTGCTTCAACCCTGCCTGTCATGATGAATCCAGGCTCATAGGGATACAACGTCCTCGTAGACAGACGAAGATACTCAACTCAATTTAAACGAAAACCAACCCCCCCCCCCAAAAAAAAAAGAAAAAAAAAGAAAAACCCAACCCCACTTCCACTTGGGAATCGTACTCATATCTTTACTATGCGTCCGAAATGCCTTACCCCTACACCACAGACGCCAGTATCAATGTTATACATTACAGTCGAAATACAAAAAAAAAAAGAACAACTTAGAATTATATATAGTTCATGGGAAAGAGAGAAAGCGAGAGCTAGCGAGAGAGTGAGTGAGTGAGAGAGAGAGAGAGAGAGAGAGAGAGAGAGAGAGAGAGAGAGAAA